CCACCCCCACACACAATCTTAGGCATGCACTCATCAAAAGTTAAGTCATGCAGACAATCGCTCAAAGATACTGTTCAAGCATTATTGCATTAAAGAAATCATTTAGCGCTGTAATAACCTTTTCTTTCTCAGCAACAGCTCTCTCTTGATCTATACGAATTCCATCCTCTTCAGAATCAGAGTCTGGAGATACAGAATCATGGGTGCTATCTTCTTTATCCAGTTCTTCAAGTATTCTATCCTGAAATGACAGAAAATTAAGTCAGCTATTAAGATGCATTCATTATAATCTTTAACTCTACACAAATGCAAATAAATGACTAGGCAGAGGATCAAGATGATCTTGAGAAGGAGTACATTCTCATTAATTATTTACCACATCAAGCTTTCCCCATGCTTCATAGTCATAAGACTTTATCTTGTTTTTTTGGTTTTCTTCAGTTGTTTTCTTAGAAGGAACTTTAGTTTTGCTTTTTTTCTTTTTCCTATATGCCTCATTTCGAATTGGTGGTAAATTCTAGATAGAAAAAAAATATTACTTCAATTTAGTTTTCAGTTTTTTATTAACAGCAATCTTGAGGGTATACATCCCCGAAAACCCCAAACCAATATATGACTCAGGAGGTGAAGACAAAGAGTTTAGGAACCTAATGCAGAATGCATTCAAAAGCTTGTCTAACTCCATCCCAATGACAGTTGGTCCAATAATTGATATCATCCCAAGAAACCCTTGCCCCTCTTTAGAAACTTCAAAATTTTTCAGAAAATGAAATTATACGTACAAGTCATTTCAGCATCACAATTCTGAGGTAATTTATATTCAAGTTCACTTTTGGCTTCTGATTCTTAAACTCTTTAAAGGAAACTCTATTTATTCCTTGGCAACATACAAAACACAGCTTCAGTGAAATAATGTTCATGTTGGTGCTGCTCTACAAGCTGATAAAAAGATGGGTAAATAATTGATAATGTACATGTGTGACACTAAAAAGTGGGTTGATTCTGTATTTCTTTTCTTACTCTGAAAGAGTTAACATGAAAAAACCCATTGGCATATTTCATGGCAGCCATTTGCATATTCCTCACCAATACCAGTTATCTATTTGTGCACAGGCAGTGAAATTCTGGAGCCACCGAAGTCAATAGGTGTTTTGCCATTTATTTCAATAGGAAACTACATCAAGTTATTTGTATTTAAATAAGCCCATCTACTTCCAAAACTTTTTTCTGCAGTTTGTGAACTCTTTCAGAAGCAACGGATTTCCTTTGAATCCTATTTGCCCTTTTCATGCATGTAGGCCCACTGGAGTCAAAAGGATTAACAAGTTAATGTAAACACCCAGGATTTGGGCCATCAAAATTAAATACCTTAAATAATGGATTGCTTGCTCTGCCATGTAAATTGTGGGGAAAAAAAGACAGAGAAAAAACCTGGGCTGTTTGCAGGTAAGCACATGTGCATGCACACACCCAAAACAAAAAGCTTTCAAAAACAAAAACTTGAATACCAAACAAGCAACTATTAAGCACCTTTCTTTGGACAGTGCACCACGTAAATCTAATAAATACCACTTTTATGAACAGGCATATTCATTTACAGATTGGACTCTTGAATTTACCTCCTCTGGGGCACCACTCTGTTTTCTTAGTTCAGAATCCACCTGCTTAATATCTTTTTCCCAGCTCTCCAATTCCTTCATAAAATCATGAAGCTCTTCAGCATTTTGTTTCATTTGTAGCTGTAACTCTAGCGCTTTATTTGGTGAAGTCATTATTATCTTCTGAATTTGGGGGAATAAAAACAAGTCTGATGAGAATTACAGCATTTATTGGAGGCTAGCTTCATTAATATAAGGAGTCATGGTTGAACTGAATTACTTGGCAGGCACCACTCATTTTTCCCATCATTATCAGCAAAAGCCCATTAAGTATGAAAAGGAGAAGAAACAAACAAGTTAAAATGTCTCTTAAAAAAAGAAAATAAACAATAACGGTTCAACTCTGAATGAAAATATTTCAGAAGAATTAAATACAAGCCAGGAGCAGGGAGGAGATGTGCCCCTTTACCTGACCCGAGGCGGAGGCAGCAGCAGCGGAGCCAGCATCAGCTGATTCCCCTAAGGTAAGTGGGCAGAGGGACCGGA